ACGTATCCCGCTCGAACTTGCATATTCGATTGTCAGACGAAATAATATAATCGTAATTTTGACGAAAACACTGTAAGTCACTGTTCTCAAAATGTGGAAGTGCTTGTAAATCGAATATATTGCTTGTTTTGGAAATTTAATGGGATGAAATTATTATACGATTATATATACGTTATTATACCACTGCGGATCTTATGCATTTATTAGAAAAACGAGTGGATCAACTGCAACACAGTACAACATATTTATGGCATTTGAAAATACCGTTGCATTATTTTCGGTTCATTAAAATTATTAAGGAAACAAATAAATGTTTGCAGCTGCTGTATGTGGCACTTGGTGCAGACAATTTTTACACAATTTTTTGCATAAAAATCGGCAGTGTAGTTATTATACAAAGTAGAACAATAACTACTAGGTGTATGCAAAAGTATTTGTGCTTTTTCAATTTTTCATCTCATTTACGTATATGAAAATAAATATATACTATATTTCCCTTCATTTTTTTAACGACTTTCTCCTATCGGTTTCTCAATCTTTGAATTCCGTCTCTCAAAATAGAATTTTTATGGGAAGATATGTTCCCTTACGAAAAAAGTTTTGAAAAGTCTTATCGTGAAACAGATATTATATAATATCTTTAATATATTATATAATATATTATATAAAATCTGTGTAATGAAAGTTCCATGGAAAGAACGTATTTTAGAATGTTCGTTAAAAAAGATTCCATGCTTAAATTAAGTTATGAAATATTAATTTTGATATTTCTTAATACTATTTGTTCCTTGAGAAATGAGAAATTGTAATATTTCTTGAAAATATCAAGAAACATTAACTCAACTGCATGTATACAGAACTTATAGTACGAGAACGTTTTTAAAAAAAAAAACCTTCCACGGTCCATGTTACAAATAAAAACGGTTGAAAAGTTCCACAACTGTTACGATTCCTGGTATGGACGTGTCGATATGCTCGAGACAAACCACATTCACCACGTGGTCCTCATATCTCGAGGACACATTCTTAGAAGCAACATTACTGGTCCTTTTTTTACATTTCACAGTCGAAATGAAAATTTATCCTTGCGTAGGCGCGGCGTTAGCATTTCAGACTTTTGCAGGAGTTTTGAAGCCAAAAATTCATGCCATGTGTTTTATAGCGTAATTTAAAAAATTAACATTAGATGCCTAGAATTATGTCATACAGCAAGAAATTAACCTTTTACACTCGGAAACATTTAAACTCTGAATACAAAATAATTTTTCTGAACTATACTATTTCCATTTTCCGTGATTTATAATTAATGCATTTTATGCAGGTGAAGTTGAGTCTTGCCCATTTAACAGATTTTCAAATATAAATAATATTGGTGATTTGCAAATTATTTGGGAACACGATGAAACAATTTTTAGTGGTGCTTTAGAGTCATCTCTCGAGTGCAAAGGGTTATTTTATACAATTTTGAAATAGATCGGATAACGGGAAGACATGCCAAAGACATCCGTATTTGATGCAAATTGCTGTCAATCGTCATATGTTCCACAGAGTGAAAATTCATCCATTCTTTAAACAATATACGTTGATTTATTTCCTAGCTGTGTTGCAAAATTTTTAATTCTTCCAGTGCTGACTAAAACGAGTAAGTATAGTAGAAGCAATATCTACTCTTTAATTATTTTTATGACTTTATATTATATTCGTATTATTTGAATGCCATTTAGATATATTACTTGTACTCTTATATTACATTTATATTATAAATTATATCAAGATTATGGTACATCGAATTTTTCATACGTACCACAAATTAAACACTACGGCTCTCACATGTACCACGTAAGGACTAAACATTGAGAGGATTAAAAAGCAACATTATAAATGAAATTGTTGATTCGAGTAATTTGTTGATTAAAATTGTAAAGGAAAAGTATGGGAGGTACTATTCTAAAATCATTTGTTCCACCATACATTGAATAATTTCAATATACACTTACATCTGATAACTGCAGATACAGCAAGGTTATCTTTCTTGAAAGCATATAAAACTAAAAAAAAGGTATGATTAATTGAACAGATCGAATTACTTTCGATTAGTGAAGGTAGCTCATGAACGGTGCTATATTCCCTTTATCCTCGACAAGGTTATCTCTTTATCCTCTTCACTTTACGAAAACTAAGAAACGTACAAACTGCAAATCTCGACAAAATGTGTCTAACGAACGATATCTTGTTCCGAATTTAGTAGATTGTCCGAGAAGTGAATACTGTCGGTGTTTTTGTAATCGCAGGGAGTGTAAGATACAGATTAATTATTCGCAGTAAGCGGCGGGGTCTCGTCACAGGACAATCTTCTGATTGCCAAATCCGATTTGCCTTCCGATGCCCAAATCAAACAATTCGATGCAATTATTATGTAATCGATTAAAATATTTTGCACCATGCATGAAATTATGTGACTTTCATCGTCTTACGCAAATAACAGTAAGTTTGAGCATCGCTTACGCAACGGGAAATTGTATATGCACCTTTAATGCCATGTAAAGAACGAAAATTACACTGAGAATTTGTATGCAGAATAAAATTGTTCTGCATCAGTAATAAGACTGCGGATCTTCGTGCAAATTCTCATTTTCATACATCGTTTTACAAACGTTAGAATCAAAGAAAAGTGGAGCTTCGTCAACTAAAAGACTACACGTTGCAAAACGAAAAGAAAAATTCTATTGAATCTTGTTAATTTATCTGAAACAGCCATAAGCGTATGAAGATCCGCAGTCCAGTGACAAGTAATAAGAAGCTGAGATTTCGTAAAAATTTTTTCCTTCTCTCAGCAGATTGTTCAAGCTATTTTTAAGAATTTCACTGAATCGGCTTCAGAAAGTCCACTAATTAATTAATTTGTCTCATCGCGAAGTGGGGAGCTTAATTGTTTAGTCGTCTCATGAATTCACAATGTATTTACTAAACACAGACTGATAAGCAACCAAAGTAACTAGATCTGAAATCCATTTTTCCAACAAATTATCGCTGGAGATAAGAAGTGGATTCTATCAGTAGGAGACATAAGAAACAATAATTATTAACACTGGGAAAGCTGACCCCTTCAGGGGTGTTGAAACAACATCATTTTAGAGTTCACCTAATACCTTACTAAAATATATGTTAAATTAAACATAATTATATTCATGTACGATATTGACGGACACGCCAGAGAAAAAACTATTTTACACGTATGGAACATTATTAAATTATCAGAACGTAATGCAATATTACATTTATGAAAGAAAAATTAAAATAATACTTTTTCGCGTAGTCAAAATGAACTAGTTAAAATCGTAAAGTCTCACTGAAAGACCCGCCAATTTGTCAACTTATTGCTAGCAAAAATTAAAGATACAGTATGAATTCCACCACCGATGTCGAGTTTCAGCTCGAACGCATACGCATATTCATTTCCATCGCAGCTTTAAACTATAAAATCAATACATATTCATCTAACATAAGACAAATTATCGCGAAACATTAAAAGATAACCGTTTATTAGTTTTCGTCAAAAGAAAATCGGCGAAGATCGCCTAATTCTCATCGTCGTAAACCAAACGGACCCGCGAAGTTGTCAGAGAATCGAAGGATCGAATTTCTTTTACTCGTCCGAATTTCCATCGATAAAATGGCGATCGCTAACACAGAAAGTGGTCATAATAGCTGTTTCTATCGATCATATCGACAAATGTATTTCGGAGAGCCCGGAGACACAATCGACGTGTCGAATCGAGGGCAGCAGCCGGCGGCTCGTTTAGAGAAAGGAAAGTAAAACGTAGACAGGAGTCTACGCCTCCTCCATCACCTCCCTCTCCTCCTCCCTCTCTGGCTACCTCTCTCTCTCTCTCTTCCTCTCTCTCTCCCTTTTTCCCGTTGATCGGCCGTTTACTCCACGGCGCGTTCTCTCTCGCCCGGAGGTTGTTACCTCGATGTAAGGTAACTTACTTTTCCCCTTCCCCGGCTACCCCGGTTTTGGGGAGCTTTCCACCACCATGTGGAGACCGGGTAACCACCGCGATAAAGAACTATACACGGACGACGACGACGACAGGACACGGGTGAAGTTACCGCATTATGCGAGACACTCGGTCAGTAAGCTTCTAACCAACGCGGTCTGTAGCTGGACACTCGAGTTGCCAGAAGTGGCCCCGTACACGCACTACCCTGCGAGGTATCGGTCTGGGACCGTGGTGACCAGACAGTCCAACTTAGATCGAAGATCGCGTTCTCTTCGGTTACTTTCTTCCTTTCGCCGATCCCCGTTCGGGAATCGTCTTCGCCGCGTTCGGCCGCGATCACGCGCCGCGGTAAAAGTGCATCGGAAGTGATTCTAGCGACGTTCCGTACCGGTGATCGAACCTCGACTTGTCCCGTTCCGTTGGATCACAGCCCCCAGCGCCGTGGATCGCGCGATTGCAGAATGTACGGGTGAGTTGCTCCTCAGACGATCCATTGTCTAACGCCTAGAGCTATAGAACCCGTCTGGATCAGTTCAGCTTCTTTATTTCGTAATTAACGACGATTTTGCAGTTTACGGAATGCTTCGTTTACAGTTGTATATATATCTCGTAGATTGATATAACCATGCTCATTGATATTTTCAGACTTTTATTTTTTTAGATTTGTAGAAATATATATATATATATATATATATATATATATATATATATATATATATATATATATATATAT